TTTGAAATTATGAAATATGAGACTGTCCAGCTAACTTCAAAAGGAAAATGGATGATTATTAAAAACCCAGGCTTGGAGCATTGGGGAAACTTATGTGGGTGACATAGAAGGACTTGAGCACATTTCAGTTGCATGTTTAATGATAGGGTTAGTACAAGAAGTGCAAAGTCTGTCTATTCTTATAAAAATATTGAATTTCCACAAAGATAAGATGCATCACATATAATATATTCATGACTTTAAATGCATGCTAAAAACACTATAAGAAATATATCCCCAATCCCAGAGATAAACAGAGGAAGGAAGGAAGGAAGGAAGGAAGGAAGGGAAAGAAAGAAAGAAAGAGAGAGAGAGAAAGAAGAAAGGAAGGACGGAAGGAAGGAAGGAAAGGAAAGGAAAGATATTAACTTGGTATTATGGCGTATTCTTGTAATCCCAGCTAGGAAGACAGAAGGAGGAGGATCACAGCCCAAGACCAGCCAGGGAAAACAGTGAAGACCTTATCTTAAAAAAAACTTGGTTTTCTTGCCCAGCAAACTCAAAGCCCTGAATATAAAATCCCACTGCCATCAAAATAAAGAGAGAAAGAAAAAACTCATAACACTAAAGTCACTGAGGTACAGGATATGGCTGCTCAGAAAAAAGAATAACCTTTTTCCTCAGTGAGATCCGTTTTCTTTTTTGGGGGGGGGTCCGATCGTGGGGCCTGAACTCTGGGCCTGGGCGCTGTCCCTCAGCTCTTCAGCTCAAGGCTAGCGCTCTACCACTTGAGCCACAAAGCGCCACTTCCGGCTTTTTTCTTTCCGCTTATGTGGTGCTGAGGAATCGAACCCAGGGCCTCAGACATGCAAGGCAAGCGCTCTACCACTGAGCCACCTTCCCAGCCCGAGAGACCCGATTTCTCTATCTGTAAAATTGCCGACAAGTATGGGAACTTAAGTCAGTTGAATTGCCAAATGTCATTATTGGCTACTGGAGGGCAGTAGAACAATCTTTTCTCAGATGAGAGAGCTAAGCCGGGCACCTGTGCTCATGCCTGTAATCCTAGCTTCTCAGGAGGCTGAGATCTGAGGATCACAGTTCAAAGCCAGCCCGGGCAGGAAAATCTGTGAGACTCTCATCTCCAATTAACCACCAGAAAACTGGAAGTGGAGCTGTGGCTCAAGTGGTAGAGCGCTCACCTTGAGCTGAAGAGCTGAGGGACAGTGCCCAGGCCCAGAGTTCAAGCCCCGTGACCAACCAAGAAAAAGAGAGAGAAGCCAGAGTGATTGAGGTGTAATTGACAGAGAAGCCAGGGTGCTTTGGCATGTAGCTCAGTGATAGAGAAAATGCGTAGCATGCACAAGGTCTTGGGTTTCATCCAGAAAGAGAGAGACAGAATAGGGGAGGGAGGAAGGGAGAGAGAGAGGGAGGGAGGGAGGAAGGCAGACAGTAACATTAGTATTAAATGCTAGTATGTGGATAGTAATATTAAAAGCAAATGTGGCCATTATATTAGCATTCATATATTGATATCCACCAAGTGGATATTAATATTAAAGGCCACTGTGTAGATATTGTATTAGTATCAGGAGCCACTGTGTGAATATTAAAGTAGCATTAGAGGTCACTGTGTGGCTGTTATGTTAGCATTAGAGCTCCACTGTATGGATAGCATATTAGTACTACAATCTATATTATGAATATTACATTAGTATTAGGAGCCCACCGTGTGGATATTATAAATCCCTTTGTACAATTAATTTATACTAATCAATAGTAAATACCAGCCTCTAATTGCTTGTAATCCTAACAACTAAGAACGATAAGAACTAGGGATCACTGTCTAAAGCCATATTGGCAGAATAGTCTGTAAGACTTTTATCTCCAATTAACCTGAAAAAAGCTGGAAATGGAGGTGTGGCTCAAGAACTAGCACTTCCATCTCAAGCAGGAAAAGCTAAGGGATGGTACTCAGGCAATGAGATGAAATTGGGGGTTTGAGGGCTGAATTGGATGAAGTATAGAACTTTTCACTCCAAATTCCTTTAAGTCTCTTTTGCAGATATCAGCTTCTCCGTTAATATTTGTCATATCTTGCTTGAAAGTCCTTAAAAATCACTCCTGGGATAAATGTGCTGAAGAAGACATATATTTCCCATAACTGAATATACACTCCCCTCCTATCTGCTAGTCCTCTAGCAAGTCCCATAGCTAGTCCTATAGCGAAATTAAAATTCAGAGAAGGGAAGACCAAAGGCTGCTCTTGAAAGACACTTACTGCACACGAAAGAATAGAGGAACAACGCTTGTTTTCCATGATGTTACCTTTTTCCTTCCTTTAGCCGGTCTTGGAGCGTGGCCTCGGCCTGGGCCGGTGTGCTTCTTTTGCTCCAGGCTAGCGCTCTGCCTGGAGCCACCGCGCCACTCCCGCTAGTTCTGTCCGTGCAGTACTGGGCTTCGTGCACCGAGCCACTTCCCAGCCCCAAGTACTCTGTTTTTAATTCAAGAATTTACGTTTATCCTCAGCCTCAAGTTGTCGTGTCCCTTGACTCGGTTATTCTGACTGTGGAGCCCCACCAACGGTGTCATTCTATGTGTGAACAGATGCACCCTCTTTTCACGTCTAAGGTCTGAGACACAAGGTCCATCCACGATGAGCAGACACGTGGAGGGAGCCCCCATCCATGGACACGCGGGTGACGCAGATACAGTACCGAACAGCTGAGTTGGGGGTTCACTGTGCACTCACCTGGATATGTTCCCGCGATCACGGGTAAATGCACCCGCAGTTTCAGAACATACAAGCCGTCGAGACACTTGGGGTGCAGCCAACCACAAAGGAATCCCAGGCTCAGGGTCCTGGGCTCCGGAGCCCACGCTGCTCTCAATACCTGGGTTCGGTGCCCGCAGGGGACAGTCAGGGTTCCAGGTTCCCTAGGTAGGCCGTGCTCACCGAGCGCCCTCCGCACCCAGGTCGCGTCCTCCCCTCGGACCGACGCTCCGGCAGTGCCCACTGGGCTCCGCCCCGCCCCTCCAAGCCACGCCCCCTCGGCCCTCCTGAACTCCGATTGGCCGGGCCTCCCAGGGCGCGGCACTGATTGGCGGCTTGCGGAGAAGCTCGGAGCGTGCGGCCTGGGGTGACGAGCGCCGCGGCAGGCGGAGGCTGACAGGACTCGGCTCCTCGCCGTGCCGCGAACCCTCGTGGGCCTGTGAGACCCGCCGGCGCCCCACTCCCCTCAGACACGGGGACCTTGGCTCACACGCCCTCACCTCAGGCCCGCGCCGCCAGTGCCGCCGGCGAGCCGGTCTCCACGGACGGGGTCCGCCCGAGGCGAGGCGCAGGGCCGCTCTCCACGCCGGGAGGCCCGGCCCCTAAAGAGGGCGCCAAATCCCCGGGGGCGCGGCGACCCGGGGCCGCCCTGCACAGCCCTGCGCGGAGCTCCACAGAGCGGGCCTGGTGCGCGGGGACCGGCCCGCCGCCTCCACCGGGACCTCAGCCCCCTCCACCGGACCCCGGCCTCCTCCACCGGACCCCGGCCTCCTCCACCGGACCCCGGCCCCCTCCACCGGCACCTCAGCCCCTCAGCTCCCTCCACCGGGACCCCGGCCCCCTCCACCGGGACCCCGGCCCCCTCCACCGGGACCTCAGCCCCCTCCACCGGACCCCGGCCTCCTCCACCGGGACCCCGGCCTCCTCCACCGGGACCCCGGCCCCCTCCACCGGGACCCCGGCCTCCTCCACCGGACCCCGGCCCCCTCCACCGGACCCCGGCCCCCTCCACCGGCACCTCAGCCCCTCAGCCCCCTCCACCGGACCCCGGCCCCCTCCACCGGACCCCGGCCCCCTCCACCGGACCCCGGCCCCCTCCACCGGCACCTCAGCCCCTCAGCTCCCTCCACCGGACCCCGGCCTCCTCCACCGGACCCCGGCCCCCTCCACCGGGACCCCGGCCCCCTCCACTGGGACCCCGGCATCCTCCACCGGGACCCCGGCCCCCTCCACTGGGACCCCGGCATCCTCCACCGGGACCCCGGCATCCTCCACCGGGACCCCGGCATCCTCCACCGGGACCCCGGCCTCCTCCACCGGGACCTCAGCCCTCAGCTCCCTCCACCGGGGCCCCGCCTCCTCCACCGGGACCCCGGCCTCCTCCACCGGGACCTCGGCCCCCTCCACCGGGACCCCGGCCTCCTCCACCAGGACCCCGGCCCCCTCCACCGGACCCCGGCCTCCTCCACCAGACCCCGGCCTCCTCCACCGGGACCCCGGCCTCCTCCACCGGGACCCCGGCCCCCTCCACCGGGACCTCAGCCCCCTCCACTGGGACCCCCCACCGCCTCCACCGGGACCCCCACCCTCAGCCCCCTCCACCGGGACCCCCGCCCTCAGCCCTCCTCCACAGGGACCCCCACCGCCTCCACCGGGACCCCCACCCTCAGCCCCCTCCACCGGGACCCCCCGCCGCCTCCACCGGGACCCCCCGCCCTCAGCCCCCTCCACCGGGACCCCCGCCGCCTCCACGGGAATCCCACTCCCTCAGCCCGACACCCCAGTCCCCTGGCCAGAGGACAGCCCTCCTCCCCCGGCCAGCAGACCCCAAACCACCACCTATTCGCTCTGCCACCAAGCCTCCCCTAAGAACGCCCCCTGACTCAACGCCTGTCTCCTTGGCACCCGGCAGTTCCCGAGGGGAGAGCCCCTTCTGCTGACCTACTGCCTGGCTGCGGAGCTGGTTTGGGCTCTAGCTTCCCTGCTGTGGAGAGGTCGTTGCCACAGGAGCACAAGAAACACGGTGGGGACATGGCCCCACCCCAGAACCTCCTAACCCTACCCTCCACACCCCAGAGTTTCCTAGCCAGAGAACCTCAGGGCCTGGAGCCCCCTAACGCACAGCCTCCTAACCCCACACCATTCAGCACCAGAGCCTCCTAACCTAGAACCTTCTAACCCAAGAACCTCCTACCCAAGAAACTCCTAACTCAGAACCTCCCACTCCATAGGTGTCACTGACTGCACCATGAGCATCCCAGCCAGTTCCCCAGAGAACAACTCAGAGGGAGAAGCAGGAAGACCTGGATGCCAGCCCAAGGTAGACATGTGGGAGGCGGCCAGACCTACCCAGGGCCACAGGGAGGGGGAGCAGGGGACCAGAGGACCACAGACTCTAAGACATACCTGGTGCCTTGCCTGTTCTCTACCATAAGGTAGAGAAAAAGGCCAAGCTCTCTGCTTTTGATCTATGCTACTATATCACAAGGAATCTTTTTTAATTCCCCCCCCCCAGGTCAAAGATGCTTTCAAAGACATTTCCATGTATTTTTCCAAGGAAGAATGGGCAGAGATGGGAGAATGGGAGAAGATCCACTATAGGAATATGAAAAGAAACTACAATATGTTGATTTCTATAGGTAATGAGGTCTCTAGTCCCTTAGTTAGTTTGGCCATCTCTTAGATGGCTACAGGTGTTCACAGGAGACAGAAGAGAGGGAAATTTTTTCTTTTGTGTTAAGTTCAGGGCTGAATGTTTGCATGGACCAGCCTGAAATCCCAGCCTCACGCTCCCAACTCACTTCGTCTTGTGGTACTTTCCATTACCGTTACCTTTGTTTCTTCTCTCAGTTTGCTTCCGTTCTAGAAGGAAAGTTTTGCCTCTTTCCAGGTCTCAAAGCCCCTCGACCAGTTTTCATGTGTCACCGAAGGCAAGCCATCAAACCCCAGGTGGATGACACTGATGATTCTGATGAAGAGTGGACACCTGGACGGCAAGGTGAGGGACCAGGAAGATTTAGAAGTCACCCCTTGAAACCACACCAGGTTTAGGTTTAAGAAATACCTCAGAAGTATCTGGGCACCAGTGGCTCATGCTTGTAATCCTAGCTACTCAGGAGGCTGAGATCTGAGGATCACAGTTCAAAGCCAGCCCAAGCAGGAAAGTCTGTGAGACTCTTATCTCCAATTAACCACCAGAAAACCGGAAGTGGCACTGTGGCTCAAGTGGTAGAGCACTCACCTTGAGCTGAAGAGCCCAGGAACAGTGTCCAGGCCCAGAGTTCAAGACACACAACCAACAAAAAAAAAAAAAAAAGAAAGAAAAAAGAAATACCTCAGAAGTTAACAAGGAAAGTGTTTCTTCAAACACAGAAATGTCAAGAAACAAGCAAGATGCAATACAATATACATATAATAAATAATATATAAAGTAAGAAACTATTCCTATAAAGCTTAAAAAAGTAAAAATATCATTTCATTTATAATAATAAGTGGGAAGGCATAAAATCTGAATGTAAACAAGAAATATAAAATCCAGAATAGTTATTATCACAAAATAAAGATGAAGGGGTAGCAGGTGACTTTGCTGCCGCTTGGTTAATTTTATATATTTTAAATTTTGACATAGAAACTATAAGATCTGAGGCAGATTAACTGAGTGATAAAGGTTTTCTTTTTTTTTTAATTTAATTTTATTTTATTTGTGAACATACTGTACAGAGGGGTTACAATTACATGGGCAGGATAATGCGTACATTTCTTACCAAGCATTGCAGCCTCCTCCTTTGGTTTACCCTTCACATCCCTTCCCAGCCTCCCCCCTCCCCCCAAATCCCAATCCTTCTCCTTCCCCCCCTTCCCCCCTCCCCCCCCCCCCGGTGTAAAGGTTTTCTGTTGTCATTTTCCACGCTTTTCTATAAATCATTTAAAATATATTCGCAAACATTATTAGCCAGGTGTTATATTGTTTTCATTTTTATTTTATTTTCATTTTACAGAATCTCACTATTGGGAAGGGATAATGGGACATGGGAAGGGATAGTGGAACAACAAAGAAAGGGGTAACAATGATCGACAAATAATATATTCATTGCCTTACTCGTGTAACTATAGCCCCTCTGTACAGCACCTTTACAATAAAATAAAAAATTTTAAAAAGAATCTCATTATGTAGCCCAGGCTGGCCTTGAACTCAAGATCCTTTTATCTCAGCTTCCTGAGTACTGGGATTACAGGTGTTTGCCTTTATGCCAATCTTCAAAAAGGAATTAAAGAAACCTTAATTAAAGTGCAAATTTTCCCAACAGCTTCCTAACATTAATCTTATAATATTTGGTTATTGGAGTAAATGTCTTAAAAGAGAAAATGATTAACATTATATAAAGATTTATTTTTTTTTTTTTTGGTCAGTCATGGCGCTTGAACTCTGGAACTGGGTGCTGTCCCTCAGCTGTCTTAAAAGAGAAAATGATTAATATTATATAAAGATTTATTTTATTTTATTTTTTTGGTCAGTCATGGCGCTTGAACTCTGGAACTGGGTGCTGTCCCTCAGCTCTTCAGCTCAAGGCTACTGCTCTCTCACAGTGCCACTTTTGATTTTCTGGTAGTTTATTGGAGATAAAAGTTTCATGGACTTTCCTGCCCAGGCTGGCTTTGAACCGTGATACTCAGATCTCAGCCTCCTTAGTAGCTAGGATTACAGGCATGACCCACCAGCACCTGGCCTTATTTATATATTTTTATATAACATAATTATCTTGCCCCAAAAGGAACCTGATTCTTTCTCTTGAATCTGGGAGAGTATTCAAGAGAGTGATTTAATTTCCTGGATTTTTCCCTTGAATTCTTGAATCAGAGATAGCATCAGATTAATATGGTGATATGTACTCAGTAGCACTCAGTATAAAATAGAAATGAGAAGCTCATTTCCTCTTCTATTACTTTAACAGGAGAGTTTAGGAGAAAAAAGTCAATATGCCTAAACTGCAGAAAGCACCTTAGATTATGCCTATGACTCCTCACCTGTATATTTCAGTTGTGTATGGACTTGAAAGCCCAATGTCTGGTTGTCTGCAAAGGTTCTGACATTAAAAGACAATTTTCATGAAAATGTATCTCACATGGTTTACTACATCTTTATCTCATCTCACAATCTCCAACCCTTTCAATTTATTTTTTTATATGGTGGCTCCTGGAAATCATACAACATAATTCTCTTGATAGTTCAGTTTAAAGTATACAATATTGATAAATAACATGCACATTGTGTCAACAGTTCTATCCATGGAACAATATTACTTCCTCTTCTCCCTAGACCCTGGAAAGCATACTTCTACTTTATGTAGATACTTTCTTTATATATGAATTTCAGTTGCTTCAACTACTTCATAGAAAGACAATTGTCTTTGAGTAACTGGCATGTTTCACTTAGCCTAATGTCACCTGCATCTTAATCCTGAATATTGTGGAATTTCTTTCTTGTTTAGTGCTGAATAATGTTCCATTGAATGTATAAGCCACATTTTTTTATTCCAGTCCTGGAGCTTGAACTCAGGTCCCTGAGCTATTTTGCTTACGGCTAGCATTACCACTTGAGCCACAGCTTCACTTTTGGCTTTTTTAGTGCTTAATTGGAGATAAGAGTCTCACAGACTTTCTTGCCTGGGCTGACTTTGAACCACAATCCTCAGATCTAAGCCTCCTCCTCAGTAGCTAGGGTTACAGGCATGCCTGGCTAACCCATATTTTCTTTATCCATTCATCACTTGGTATTATTTACATTGTTTCCACCTCTTGGGCATGCAACCTCTTTTTTTTTTGCTAGTCATGGGGCTTGAACTCTGGGCCTGAACACTGTCCCTCAGCTCTTCAGCTCAAGGCTAGTGCTCTAGCCCTTGAGCCACTGCACCACTTCCAGTTTTCTGAGTGGTTTATTGGAGAGAGTCTCACGGACTTTCCTGCCCAGGCTGGCTTGGAACCACTGTCCTCAGATCCCCACCTCCTGAGTAACTAGGATTACAGGTGTGAACCACCGGCGCCCATCTATGCAACCTCTTTACAACTGTCAATAGTATTAATAATGCTGCAGTGACAATGAATGTACCAATATTTATTTAGGACCTTCCCTCCTTCTTTCCTATTTCTGTGTATACCAGGAAGTTAGATTGCTAGATCATAATCTAGTTCTACACTTTTAAATTTTGGGGGGGGGTTGTGGGGCCTAAACTCTGGGCCTGGGCACTGTCCCTCAACTTCAGCTCAAGGCTATCACTCTACCACTTGAGCCACCATGTCACTTCTGGCTTTTTCTGCGTATGTGGTGCTGAGGAATCAAACCCAGGGCCTCATCTATGCAAGGTAAAGCACACTACCACTGAGTCACCTTCCCAGCCCTACTTTTAATTTTTTTTTTTTTTTGGTCGGTTGTGGGGCCTGAACTCTGTGCCTGGGCACTGTCTCTCAGCTCTTCAGCTCAAGGCAATCGCTCTAATACTTGAGTAACAGGGCCACTCTGGTTTTCTAGTAGTTTATTGGAGATAAGAGTCTTGAAGACTTTCCTGCCCAGGCTGCCTTTGTACCGTGATCCTCAGATCTTAGTCTCCTGAATAGCTAGGATTACAGGCATGAGCCACCGGTGCCCAGCCATAGCACCCATTTTTAAAATTGTGTTATATGAGTTCTTGTTATTGTGGTTGTTATAGAGTTGTAGTAGTTCTTTATATAAACTAGGTATTAACTTCTTATTAAATATATGATTTTCACATATATTCTCCCATTATGTAGATTGCCTTGGTCATTCTCTTTATTGTTTCCTTTTCTGCACAGTCTTTAAATGAATGTAGTCCCATTTCTCTATTTTTGCTTTTGTAGCTTATGAGTTTGATTTTGTACTCAAGAAATCTTTTCCTATTCAAGGTCCCTTGAGATCTTATAAGAATTTTTAGGTATTTTTTAATTTCAGACAAAAAATGGAATTGTCATTTTGATAGGGCTAGCATTGAATATATAGATCATTTTGGGTTAAATGAATATCTTCATAATATTAGGTCTTATAACCAATGAACACAGGATTTCTATTTATGAGTTTTTTCCATAAATCATTAATAGTATATTTTATAGAGAAAAAAACAGAAATCTTAGTTTCATCCAAAGACACTCAAATCTAATTTTTCCCTGTCAATCCCTTCTAACTGTAACTTTGTAGCCATGTAATAAAGGCCACCTTAAGGATTTCTTTCAACTTCAAAAAAAGTAAACAATCAGGCTATCAAGAAAGGTACTCAATACATACTTTCCTTATATCACACAAACTAGTATTCAGTACAGTATGACTATGTAGGATATATATATAATACACATGTTAACAAAGCAAATACTATAGGCTCAGAAACGTCTATTTATGAATTTTAGGACTGAATTTCTATTTCAGTGAAGAATTACTTTACTGTTTTTAAGGGACTTGCATTGAATGTTTAGATTGCTTTCCACAGTAAAACCATTTTCACAATATTGACTTTTACCAATTCATGAACTCTTTCCATCTTCTGGTATCATTTCAATTCTTTTCTTTGAGGTTTTGTACTTCTCATTATAGAAGTCTTTGGTTAAGTACAAACCTAAGCTATTTTTTTTTAAGATTATTATGACTGGGCTGGGAAGGTGGCTCAGTGGTAGAGCGCTTGCCTTGCATGCCTGAGGCCCTGGGTTCGATTCCCCAGCACCACATAAGCAAAAAGAAAAGAGCCGGAAGTGGCGCTATGGCTCAAGTGGTAGAGCGCTAGCCTTGAGCTGAAGAGCTGAGGGACAGCACCCAGGCCCAGAGTTCAGGCCCCACGACCGGACCCAAAAAAAAAAAAATTATTATGACTGTTTCTGATTTCTTTTTTAGCCTGTTCATGGTTAGTAGAAAAGCTAATGATTTTAATATGTTGATCATATATCCTGGCACATTTCCAACAATATATATTAGAACTAGAAGTTTTCTGTAGGAGTTTCTAGAATCTTTTAAGTGTAGGATCATGTTAACTGTGAATAAGGATAATCTAAATGTTTCCCTCCCTATTTTGACCTACTTTATCTCCTTCCCTTGGCTTACTGCTGTGGCTAGAGTGCAATACTGAAAAAGAGTGAAAAGAACAGACACATTTGTCTCATTCCTGATGTTAGCAGAAATTATTTCAGTTTTCATATACACCCTTATCACATTGAGATATGTACCCAGTATTCCTAGTTTCTTCAGGACTTTTATCATAAAAGGATGTTAAATTTTGCCAAAGGTTTTTTTCTGCATCCACAGAAATGATTGTATGATTTGTTTTGTTCTTGATCTGTTTAGGTACTACATTCTATTTATTATGTATGTGGAACCACCCTTCATCACTGAAATGAAACTAAGTTGACCATGGTATACGCAATTTTAACTCCATAACCTTTTCTTCTTGTTCCTAGTTTGCTTTGTGGTTCTTGTTGCCAAATGCCAATTAAATTATAACAGATAGTTTATGAACACTCTAGAGAGAAGCAAAAAGATGAGTTTTGTCTAGGTTTGAAGAAAGTTAAGGGAAAACAGAACTGCTCCTAGTAGAAGAACAAGCCTTAATGACACTTCAGAAAGCATTTTCCTAAAATGGATTCCTTTGAAGCCTTTTCTCTCTGGCTCAGAATTTGCTGTTAAAAAAAATGAGAATCCAGAGTTTGGTAACATTTTCTAACCAAAATACTGATTTCTCATCACTTTTAGCCAAACCTCCTTGGGTGACCTTCAGAACCGAACAGAGTAGGCATCAGAAGGTAGGTATCTCACAAATCCTATTAATGAGTAAACTTTCTTCATGGATCCAAACACAGGTAAAATTATCCTAGGAACCTCTGCCTCCTTTTCCTGATCTCTTCTGCTCTTGTCATCATCATCATTCTAAGATTCAATTCACATCAACAATAGTCACTACCACTTATTTTATTTTTACAATATTTTAGACTTTATTTTAAACGTCACATGAACAAATATATTTGAATATTGCAACAACCCAATGAGGCAGACAATAAACTATAATCACTTACTAGATGAGAAAACTGAGTGAGATCTAGAAATATCTTGTGTCTGAGATCACACTTAGTGGTGGTTAAGTCTAACAAAATACTTCCTCTAAAGGCACTTACAAGTTCATATATACTTGCATAGTATTATAAAGTCTAAGCTGTCTTAGCCACAGCTGTCTTAGCTGTCTTCACACCATTCACTGAGTGATTATTCCAACTTCTGTTCATCTCTGTGATGCCAAAGTGATAGATGCACCAAGATAGATACACATTATTTGACAGTTCTAAGAAAAGCTTATTAAAACCCAGAAAATTTGTACTATTGGTGGCTCATATGAAAATTAAGACTCATTCTGATAAGAAGCGCTCTCAGCCCTAAGGAGTTTCAAGTCTGATGGTTGAGAAATGAAAAAAACCTGTGACTTAAGACTTCACATAGGGGCTGGGAAGGTGGCTCAGTGGTAGAGCGCTTGCCTTGCATGTATGAGGCCCTGGGTTCGATTCCTCAGCACCACATAAGCAGAAAAAAAAAGTCGGAAGTGGCTCAAGTGGTAGAGCACTAGCCTTGAGCTGAAGAGCTGAGGGACAGCGCCCAGGCCCTATGACTGGACCCAAAACAAAACAAAACAAAAAGACTTCACATAGGCACATGTCCTTCTGAGGCTAATTTCAAAGGCCAATTCTGTGAGGAAGAGGAGGATTGGTCCTTCTTCTGAGCTTTAATTAGCTGATTCTTGCATCTTCTGCTGTCCTTTGTTTAGCTGCTGCCTATATATGTGAGTCCTTTGAGTAGCTGAAACATATCTGAGGTTCTTCAGAGGTCTCAGGTCCCAACAGACCCCCCTCAATATTTTCAGCATAAACAATAAATTATAATTAATGACAAAATAAGTAAGCAGTTTAGAAATTTAACTACAAGTAACAGGCTCAAGAAATACTGAATATAACACCTTCAAATTTGATTTCAACTAATTTATTTCAACTTGCAGAGGAAGTAAATTTGTATTAGTGCTGTAAAAGAAATGGTTGGGGGCTGGGGAATGTGACTTAGTGGTAGAGTGCTTGCCTAGCACGCATGAAGTGCTGGGTTTGATTCCCTAGTACCACATATATAGGAAAAGCAAGCTGGAAGTGGTGCTGTGGCTCAAGTGGTAGAGCACTAGCCTTGAGCAAAAGAAGCTCAGGGACAGCGCCCAGGCCCTATGTTCCAGCCCAAGGACTGGCAAAAAAAAAAAAAAAGAAAGAAAGAAAGAAATGATTAGTTTCACATCGATGCTGTATTTAATAACTGACAAGGTTATTTGGTGAACTTTTTTTTCTTTGGTGTTGGGCCTGGGACTTGAACTCAGGGCCTAGGCACTGTCCTTGATCTTTTCTTGGGGGCGGGGGCCTGAACTCTGGGCCTGGACACTGTCCCTCAGCTCATCAGCTCAAGGCTAGTGCTCTACCACTACCACTTGAACCACAGCGCCACTTCCAGCTTTTCTCTTTTTGCTTATGTGGTGCTGAAGAATCGAACCCAGGGCCTCATGCATGCAAGGCAAGCAAGCGCTCTACCACTGAGCCACCTTCCCAGCCCCTGATCTTTTCTCTTTCTTTTCTTTTCTCCTTTTCTTTTGTCAAGGCTAGCACTCTACAGCTTGATCCATAGCTCTACTTCTGGCTTTTTTGGTAGTTAATTGGATTTAAGAGTCTTACAGCCTTACAGTCTTACAGCCAGCTTGGGCTGGCTTCAAACTTTGATCCTCAGATCTCAGCCTACTGAGTAGCTAGGATTATAAGCATGAGCCATTAGTGCCTGACTGATGAACATTTTTTATTTTACACTATCACATCAAAAACTGACATGTATACCAATTTATAGAATTGTTAGGTGGTACATACTTTTTCAGGCAAAATTACATAGAAACAAGTTAATCTAATTTCAAAGTCAGCTGTTCTTTCTAGTTGCAACTTGAAACTTGTAGCTTCACATACTTAATATTGTTCATATAGATTTCTAGCAACAATTACTTCCTAATCTCACTGCTCTGCCTCCTCATTTTCCAGGTAAATTGTGTACTTCTCCACTTTTCCACATGTTCTGATTCATTAAATGTCTCCTCTAGAAGATGTCCTCTTTCAAGCTTTACTTTCTTCATTCACAGACCTTGTTTGCTCTTAGGTTTGTATTCTCAAGTGCTCTCCCTCCCTCACTCTCACTTATATGGATTTGAGAGAAAACAGATGGGAGATGCCAGCCTTAGAACATAGATTCTAGGGACTAGGAAGGTGGCTCAGTGGCAGAGTGCTTGCCTTGCATGCATGAGGCCCTAGGTTCAATTCCTCAGCACCACATAAGCAGAAAAAGCCGGAAATGGCGCTGTGGCTCAAGTGGTAGAGCGCTAGCCTTGTGCTGAAGAGCTGAGGGACAGTGCCTAGGCCCAGAGTTCAGGCCCATGACTGACAAAAAAAAAAAAAAAAAGAAAAGAAAAAGAACACAGATTCTAATTCTAGATTCACAATCCATTCAGGCTCTTCCTTTTTCTTCCTATATTCACACAACTCTGTTTTTTTTTTTCAAGAGCTGCTGAAGCATTAACTAAAGTTATGCATAAAGTAAGCTATAAAGAACTACAGAAATGAATGTTGTGCTTTATATGTGACTTTCATTGAAGGGAATGCCCAAGACACCATTAGGTAATGAACCTAGTTGGAAGAAGTTCTCAGGAATTACAAATTTTCCGAAGACAAGTAGATTAGAACAGGCCCAGAGACCAGTGTCCCCTCCTGGAGAAGCAGGTACACAAGGAGAGCACTGCAAACAAAAACTGGGTAAGAGAAAATAATTGGAAACTTTAGTCATTTTGGAAATTCTACAAAGGTTGATGAGGGTCCTCTGACGATGTGAGGTGGACTTTGGAAAGGCCAGACATAGGCTGTAGGACTAGTAATTAGGTTGCCATGGACTAGTGTGCAAGAGCTTGACTATAAATTACACACTTGGGCTATTATCCACATGGAGGCACTTAGGCCAGGGCACACCTTACAATCTCCCTGGACTTCTGAATGTTAATCTGAAGAGCATGTACAGCCTGGGCTGGGAATGTGGCTTAGTGGTACAGTACTTGCCTAGCATGCGTGAAGCCCTGGGTTTGATTCCTTAGAACCACTTAAACAGAAAAAGCCAGAAGTGGAGCTGTGGCTCAAGTGGTAGAATGCTAGCCTTGAGCAAAAGCAGCTCAGGGACAGTGCCAAGGCCTTAAGTTCAAGCCCCATATATTGTCTGAAAGCAGTAAGTAAAAGATAAAATAACAGATACATGTTATGTGTCCAATAAATCTGTGACCACACATTTTCAATCCTGTATGTCCAGGCCTTTGCTCAATACTTAACATGCCTTCAACAAATATTCTGAGTGAATAAATACATCAATGACAATTGTATAAGAGGCTTGATCAAGTAGAAATTAAACTTGAAAATGGGGACAGCCAAAAATTAAAATTGAATTAGACACCTGCAGTCAGTGTTGAAGTGAAATCTTTGTCTCTCTGAGGGACCCCAGTATGTAGGAAGAAGAGATGATAATTTGACAGTAAGAGATTTCACATTTCTGAAGAAATAGGGACACTCTAGATACCCAACTTCACTAATCATTGTTCTTTAACTAGGACCCAGGACAAAGGAGGTAAAAACGAGGATGTACAGCCTACGGGAAAGAAAGAGTTATGCTTATGAAGAGATCAGCGAGCCCCAGGATGATGATTACCTCTGTAAGTGACCCTCTGTGCCTGTTCATGCAGGAGGCTGAAATGTTCATCAGGCCATTTGGCCCCCAAGCTACTTTGTTACTCTAGTAACTTCAAATGAAGACCTAAGGGACAATGAAACGTGTTCTGTGCTCTTTCTGATGACTGTTAAATTTGGGAATGTACATATTCCTTGACTAATCCTTGCTCCTCTTGCCTCAGATTGTGAGCAGTGTCAGAACTTCTTCATCAACAGCTGCACTGTTCATGGGCCACCTATATTTGTAAGAGACAATGTGGTGGACAAGGGGCATTATGACCGTTCAGTGCTCAGTCTGCCCCCTGGTCTGAGAATTCGACAATCCAGTATTCCTGAGGCTGGGCTTGGAGTATGGAATGAGGAATCTGATCTGCCACTGGGTTTGCACTTTGGCCCCTATGAGGGCCAGATCACAGAAGATGAAGATGCAGCCAATAGTGGATACTCCTGGATGGTACGAAATGCCTCCTTTTCCTCCTTCCTCTAAGTCCATGTGTCCCTCTGTGCCTCCAGTGAAACATTGCTAGGACATGGACAAAAAGTTGTGTGTATTTGTGGAATCCCCAATTAAGATCAAATGGTAGTGAATAAGAGCAGATTGTGATAGAGGCAAAGTGTATCCACTCTTAAGGAGCCTCTGTTAGGAGCATGACAAATTCCCTCAGATGTATAGACCGCTTCCTATGCATTCACAACTGGTGGCTGAATCCATGCAGGCTCAAAGAGCATCACTGAAATTGAGTAAAGTGATTGTGTGATTATTACTCAAAAGCCTTTATCTTGTCTTTCTGAAACTCAGATCACAAAGGGGAGAAATTGCTATGTGTATGTAGATGGAAAGGATAAATCCCAGGCCAACTGGATGAGGTGAGTCCAACAGTAGTGTTCGTGGTTCTTGAGAGGATACTCACCTCATAAGACGTGCTCCCTTTCTTCTCATCACAACTTTCTCAATGGATTCCCATATCTTTGTTTTTCTTTTTCTCTACATGGTGCTTTTAAAATCATGAATACTTGAGGGAAAAGAAATAAAAATATAAATAGTATAGCTGGGTTCCATAGCTCAAACCTGTAATTCAACTTGTGAGGTGGAGGTGATGAGACCACAATCTGAGGCCAGCGCTCGCATAAAAGTTTGTAAGACCTCTTCACAAACAATGGCGGGGCTGGGAAGGTGGCTCAGTGGTAGAGCGCTTGCCTTGCATGCATGAGGCCCTGGGTTCGATTCCTCAGCACCACATAAACAAAAAGAAAAAAGCTGGAAGTAGTGCTGTGGCTCAAGTGGTAGAGCGCTAGCCTTGAGCTGAAGAGCTGAGGGACAGCGCCCAGGCCCGAGTTCAGGCCCACAACCAGACTCCAAAAAAAAAAAAAAAACAATGGCTAAGTACATTGGTGCACAATTGTTATCCCAGCTGCAATGGAAGTACAATGGATGAGGTGATGTATCTCACGCAACACAGGGAAGCACAATCAGGATGGGACCCCAGGCCAGCCTGGGCATAAAAATATCTCAAAAATAACAACAAGAAAAGGGCTAGTGATTCAAGTGGCAGAGTGCCTGTCTTGTAAGAGGTAAGTTCAGTCCCTGAGTTCAATCCCTACCTCCACTGTGTATGCATGTATGCAGATATATGTGTATTTAATTGTATCAAAACAAATATTCCCATGCTAGACAAAATTGAGATACCAGAGGAAACACCAGAGGGCTTAACTTCACTGGGCACTCCAAAATGTCACTGGATCCAGAATCTATGAAGTACATACTGTGTCCTATTTCAAAGAATTGCCTTCAGTACTTGAACAAATGCTACAGTCTGAGTTATTGTGAAGGGCATATGGAGAAAGAAATGAGACATTTCATTATAGGAATATTTAACTATATTTTTCCTATTTTTTGAAAAGTATACAGTGCCCTAATAACCTACTATAATGGACCTTCAGTCTATGAAGGTAGGAACTCTCCCAACCCTAATACACATTAGCTCTTGATTCAGAGCTGGAGGAGAAGTGAGCTCCAGGAAAGCAGTGACTCTATGATGTAGCTACAGCCCTATGTCATAGGGATTCCTTGTCTTAACAAGAACAGACAATAGCCAGGCGCCGGTGGCTCACGCCTGGAGGCTGAGATCTGAGGACTGCAGTTTAATGCCAGCTGGGGCAGAAAAGTCCATGAGACTCTTATCTCCAATTAACCACTAGAAAACCAGAAGTGGTGCTATGGCTCAAGTGGTATAGTGCTTGCCTTGAGCTGAAGACCTCAGGGACAGTACCCAGGCCCAGAGTTCGAACCCCACGACCAACAAAAAAAAAAGAAGAAGAAGAAGAACAGACACTATGAATAAACTAAAATTTCTCTTTGTAAGACAAAGAGACCTCTGAATTTCTGTGGGAACCTAGTAGAGACAGGTGCATGAGTGAGGCCAATCTAAAGAAAATTACTTGGGCCAAATGTCAAGTGATGTGCACTAATCTAGAAGCAGAGTACATGCCCCCCCCCAAACCTATGGCAGAGCACATGCCCCCACCCAAACCTATGGCAGAGCACATGCCCCAACCCAAACCTATGGCAGAGCACATGCCCCACCCAAACCTATGATATAAACCTAAACTCAGTTTAGAGAATGTGCATTTTATGGCCAATCAAGATGGAGAGAAATCTGGAATTAGGCTTTGAAAACAGTGTGCTTAGAATTCTAGAGTGGATGAGTACTAGGAGCAGATCCAACAGGGACTAGAAACTTATCTTATGTTTCCTTCCCTGTACCTGCTTCAACCTTAGGTATGTGAACTGTGCCCGGTATGATGAGGAGCAGAACCTCGTGGCCTTTCAGTACCACAGGCAGATCTTCTACCGAACCTGCCGGGTCATCAAGGCAGGCTGTGAGCTGCTGGTCTGGTATGGGGATGAGTATGGACAGGAACTGGGCATCAAGTGGGGCAGCAAGTGGAAGAGAGAGCTCACAGCAGAAACAGGTGGGCCTCACTATGGTTTCTTAAAAAGGAGGAAAGGAAAAAAAAGAATTCTCTTTGGAAACTTTCAGGTATCAACTCTCAGGTGGAGCAAAATGCAGTTTAAAGTCAGTAAATTTCAAATTAAGTACCTCTGAAATTAAAGATGCTTTTGTGCAACTTTATTAGGAAAATTTTATTTTTAAGTATTTGTCCTGATTTTACATTTTAAGGACTGTACATGTTAAAATGTAACACAAAATACTCTGCTAAAAGGCTTAAAGGCCAAACAAAGAACCTACCAGCTCTCAGAACCAGATACTTGTGACCATTTCAGTTTTTTTCTTTCTTTTTTTTTTAAAATTTTTTGGTCAGTCATGGGGCCTGAACTCTGGGCCTGGGCGCTGTCCCTCAGCTCTTCAGTTCAAGGCTAGCGCTCTACCACTTGAGCCACAGTGCCACTTCTGGCTTTTTCTGCTTATGTGGTGCTGAGGAATCGAACCCAGGGCCTCATGCATGTGAGGCAAGCACTCTACCACTGAGCCACCTTCCCAGCCCTCAGTTTCTTCTTAATTTCCTCCATATTCACAAATGTTATACATATGTTGATGTTCATTATATCAACTAGTTATTCTGTGAATTCCTGCTCTAGCTAATAGGAAGAAAATCAGTTAGAATGAGGATTCCCATAGAGACTTGTGTCTAAGGTCAGATAGTGACTCCTGCTTTGAAGAAAATGAATCCAGAAATTGTGTGCTTAAAGAACCCTTGTGATGTAAGGTTGAGTGTGGCATATATGGTAAGGAAAACTTTCTCCTCAGAAATAACATTTCAGAGGGAAAGATAGGTATGAGCAGAAGATGCCAGGCAGGAGAAGCTAGTGCAGCTTTGCTGAGGCAGAAAGAGTAGGGTATTTAAAGACTGGCTGAGACCACAGAGGAAAGAAGACTGGAAATGTGGAAGCTATAAGTCAGACCAAAACACTAGAGATGGAGCTATGGTAGAATTTTCAGTTATGATTTGGTTAATTTTTGGAAAATAAGCATCTGTCTCCAAGTTAGAAAGGGTGGTGGTTTCTGGAAAAGTGAATAGAAGACAGGAATTCAGTCAGGGATATGTTTATAATGAGGCTTCCTGTAGTATTTGAGATACGCTTAGACTTAATGAAATACATCAAGAATGAATAGATGATATGAGGCCCGAGGGAGGACATATTTTCATTTTACCTTCTATGGGACACTGAGAGAGAAGCAATTTATTGTTAGGGCAGCAGGAGCCAGGGATCTTTAGTCAATGGGACCTGGCCCACTCTGTCTTGTGCAGCCTGAGATCTACTTTTCATGGAAGATCCTCAATTCCTCATATCTTTTTGAATGGGGAGAGTCAAATTTAAACATTCACATATTCTGTATCTAGCCACAACTCTTTCCAGATTCTGACATTTGTACATCTTCAGACTGAAGATATAATAAATCCCTTTCTCCTCTCAGAGAGAGAAGACTGACAATGGCAAGGTCATTGTTACTAATAACAATGCCACCGAAACCATAAAAGGTTGGTATTTCTCAGTAGAATGATACACCTTCAAATAGTATATCAAGAAAGGTGCTCAGGAATCTGAATGAGGTAAAATGTGGGAAGGATAGGGGAAACAGGATATGGCTTAGAAGGTATTTATAGCTCAGAGACCAAAGTCACTATAGCTCTATCTATACCAGGACTAAAACTGCTTCTGATGCCACTGGTCCCTTGTCTGGCTGACAGACAGTAAGGATCCCTGATGTGGGCTTTATGAATTCCTACAGAAGATGTAGTGAATAAAAATGTATGGAAAAATGAACAGTAAGGGAGTACTTGATGGAAGACAGCTTGTGTTAATATGTGAAAACTGAGTGTAGAAGAGCCACCATGCAGCAAAGCAGATCCAGATAGTGTGTCCACATCTACCCTGACCAAAAACTCCTTCTTTTATCAGAACACAAACAGGAGATCCATCCTTGCAACTTATGCTCTTTGGCCTTCTCCAGCCAGAAATTCCTCAGTCAACACATGGAGCGCAGTCACCACTCACAGATCTTCCCAAGAACATCCTTCATAAAAAACTTCCAACCATGGGATCCCTGTTCAGGGGACCAGCCTCAGGAGCCACAGCATTCATACAACCAGAATGAAAAAATTGCAGATCAGGAGGCCAAAGGAAGCTCCAAACCCACACCTAAAAAGACAAGACATGGAGTTACTTCGAGGGCCTCTCCCAACCCACTCAAAGGACAGATGGGGAGATCTGGAGAAACCGAGATAATGATGGAGGAAGGACTCAGAACAGTCCAGAGAGTGAATACGGATGCTCCAAGCAAATTATCTGTGAAAACCAGAACCTCAAGAATTGTACAAGTAAAGAATGAAAAATATGGGCAAGATTTCAGTGACCAGTCAAGCCTCACCGGGCACCAGAGGACACACACAGGGGAGAAGCCCTATGTCTGCAGGGAGTGTGGGCGGGGCTTTACACGGAAGTCACACCTCACCCAGCACCAGAGGACACACACAGGGGAGAAGCCCTATGCCTGCAGGGAGTGTGGGCGGGGCTTTACACAGAAGTCACACCTCACCCAGCACCAGAGGACACACACAGGGGAGAAGCCCTATGTCTGCAGGGAGTGTGGGCGGGGCTTTACACGGAAGTTAAATCTCACCCAGCACCAGAGGACACACACAGGGGAGAAGCCCTATGTCTGCAGGGAGTGTGGGCGGGGCTTTACACAGAAGTCACTCCTTACCAGCCACCAGAGGACACACACAGGGGAAAAGCCCTATGTCTGCAGGGAGTGTGGGCGGGGCTTTACACGGAAGTCATACCTCACCCAGCACCAGAGGACACACACAGGGGAGAAGCCCTATGTCTGCAGGGAGTGTGGGCGGGGCTTTACACAGAAGTCACTCCTTACCCGGCACCAGAGGACACACACAGGGGAGAAGCCCTATGTCTGCAGGGAGTGTGGGCGGGGCTTTACACGGAAGTCATACCTCACCCGGCACCAGAGGACACACACAGAACAACCATAGAAATGACAAATGTGTGTGTGTGTTGGGGGGAGTAGTTGGCAAGGTGGGGAGGGAAGGGATGGTAGGGGAAAAACAGAGGAGGCAACAATGCTTGATAGGAAATGTACTCATTACCTTGCTCATGTAACTGCAACCCCTCTGTACAGTATTTTTGCAATAAAAAAATACAAAAAAAAGAAATGACAAATGTAGCCACTGCACACCCTAGCTCTAATGAGGCTTCAGAGGATGTCTACTGGCCATTTACAGTCAGTCCCAAGAGTGCAATGTGATCAGAAATAATAGATTAAATAAGTCCTCCGCTTGAATGTTAAATGTTCAAGGGCTGTTCACACACTATTACCAAACTATTCCCCTTCTTGTGTGCTTGCTTCATACCTAATAAATGTTCTGTTCTTACAAATCCAAAGCCAATGCCAGTTACCTCATTCAGGAAACTCATACTTGAGTTCTGGGCTTGATAAGAACTCAACCTCTGGAAAGATGTATGCCTTAGTTAATTCCAGTAAAGTAAGTGGAGAGTCAGTTCCAGACCCAGGGAGAAATAGGGGATTTAGGACAGACTTGGGTCAGAAAATGGGCTTCCCTGGTCTCCTGAGAAGTGAGGCTTCTCTCCCTGTCCTACTGCCATGCTCCTTCTTTGTCTTCTCTTGGCTCCTCTTCTGGTTTCTTCCAATCTCTAGAACCTTAGAAGTAAAAGTTAGCGATGTGTGTACACTTGTGAGTATGTGAGTGTGTGCGTGTGTTATGGGTGCATGAATGTGGGAGGTTATGAGGGTGTGGGTAGGCACATGTGTGCATATGCATTTGTGCTATACATGGGGTCTATGTCCCTTTGGGGTTGCCAGTCAGGGAAGAAATGTCCTCTAGAAGAACTCTAGATCCTCACCCTCCTCCTACAGAGAAACAAACAAGATTATGCAGTATGAAGAATAAAATAAGAATGAAATTGTGACATGTGTAAAAAAATAGGTATATTATGAAAAGATACACAATAATGCTGTATTTCTTATGTAAACCCATACATGCTGGCAAGACTCAGTTCAGCTCAAGGAAGGTTAATGGCCATCTTGTCTCAGGGCCTTGTTTCTCCAGCCATGGCCCGATTCTTGGTTCCATGGCTGGAACTAGGCCTAGCTTTTCTTCCCTATCAGAAACAACTAAAAATGTTTTTAGGAAGAAACATGCTCTTTTATAAGAAAGGGCTGAGATGGAGAGAGGAGGAGGCATATGTATCAGACATTTAGGGAATGGCCCTTGCTGCCAGGTCTGTGGCCTTGGGTCTCAGGCTCACTCTGAGGTAGAACAGAGCTCTTAGACTGAAATGCCCCCAGGGAAGGACAGTGAGAGCTGTCAACTCGGTTTACCTCACAGCCACATACCCATCCGTGACTTTCCTTGGGCCCCACTCCCCCTGTGGTGTTTCAACTCAGCCTTCCAGACCAAATAGCTTGCCTGTTTGCCTTTGCCTTGATCAGAGTACTTATTGTGTATTTATGTTATCTTTCTATTGCCATAACAAATACTTGCTATAATCATCTTATTAAGGAGAAAAGGTTTATTTTTGGCTCACAATTTCAGAGATTTCAATTCATCATCTATTGCCCTGTTGCTTTGGGCCTGTGGTAGCTAGTACATCATGGCAGGAGTATATCGCAGAGAAAAATGGCTCACCTCATGGCCAAGAAGCAAAAGAGAAAAGAAGACTGGGGCTTCACCATCCCAAGAGCATGCCACCATACCCAAAAACCTCTAACTGGAAACGCTGTCTTACTATTAAGCCCAGGATAGTTTTGAACTTCTATTGGAGCGCACCACCACACCCAATTTGAGCTCCACCTGTTAAATTTTCTACTTCCTACCAACAACATCTAGCTGAAGATCAAGCCTTTGAGCCATGGAGTTTGGTGTGTGTGTGTATGTGTTTGTGGGGGGTGGGAGGGGAAGCATTTAAAAACCAAACCATAGTACCTATTTCTTCATGATTCTTTCTCATCTTCAAATTCAGGATAGCCTTTGAATGCAGTCAGTGAGGTAGACTGCAGAAATAAATGATATCTTTCTTACAAAAGTGGCCACTGTATTAGTTTCCTAATGGTATGGCTTAAAATATAAATTTACTAACTCACAGTGTGGAGTCTAGAATTCTGAAATCAAGGTGTCTTAGTAGGACCCTATTCCTACTCATTCTCTCAGGAGGGCCTTTCTTGCCTCTTCTAGCTGAAGTTTTGGGGCTTGGTGTTTTTTGGCTTGCCGTGTTAATCAAGAATGTAATTCAATGACACCTGTTAAAGCATGGTAGGAAAGACTTGTTTTTCAGGATCCTCACGATAGGTCCAGCACCTATCATGCATGGGACTCTGCAGGGAAGAAGGGCAGGTCATCATTAGATCACGGCTTGTTCCCTCATGCCTACTCCAGCTGAAATTCAAAAAGTCTGAACACATGGAGGAAGTAAGGAGCTAGAGAGGAGAAGCCATCTGGAGTCAGTCCTTGTGGTGAACATTTTATGTATGTCTTATCTAGACTAAATCACCATTTTCTCTTTAACTTTGTCGCACAATTTCTATGGTATAATACAAAACAAATGGTTCCTGACACACTGCTCCTAAAAACCTCAGAATGTCTTCTACATACTAATGAAATTACTGGTGGTACCATCCCTAAATACCTTCACATGGAAAGATGTGAACTCATTACCAAATCATTGAACTGAGAAGTGAACTGAAATCAAAGCTAAAAGCAGTTCACACTAGCCCTGGTGGCCACAGAAGTCTAGACTTGCTGAAAAGTAGAGAGATCTTGTTATATTCCAAGAGCTTAAATTTCAGTGCTCTGACACAGCAATTCAAGTCACAGCGCTGCACCAATCTCTCTCCAGTCCTAAACATCCAGCTATTCAACACTTACTTAACATCCACTAGGCCTGGCTGAGAAAAAATATCCCACAGGTGCCTCCGTTTACCTGAAGTGCTTTCTAGCTTCCCAGCCTGCAGAGAAACCACCTGCTCTGGTGAAAAGCAGGACAGCTGCAGCATGCCCAGGACTACCGGGGGAACAGAGATGCAGAGACAAGCACAGACTGGTAGGCTGGCATTCTTTGTGTGTTCTTAAATGCAGGGCATGGTTGTACCCCATTCCTGGCACACTGCCCCTGATTTCCAACTGTAAGTAAAAAGGCAGGCTCTGTCCTTACCTTGCAGCTTTGATTGGATGGCTCAGGGGTGGACAGCAGATCTGCTTGGATGGTATTTAGGCCTCAAGCCACCTTTGCCAAAAAAATCCCTGAGCTTTGTCTCTGAACAGCCTCACACTGAGCACCAGAAACTAAGCAGGTCTGCTTTCACTAGCTGGCTGCCAGGAGGTAGACAGATGCTTCACAGTCATAGCCAAACAAGTGTCCCAGGCCCAAAATAGCAGTCAGATGATCGAAAGGGCAAGCTCATTACTTTGTTTTCCAAAGCCCAGCTGCTCTCAGCAAGAGCAGCTAACAGTAGGTTTGAATGGCACACACTTTGGGGAAGATCAGCAGGGACAGTCCAATTCTGCCTCCTGTCCAGAGTACAATGAGATCTCTTCGCTTCATTTCTGCTGAAGTCCTGGTGTCCCACCCCAGCGTGGCTGTGGAGGGCCTGGGTAGTGTGGCCTATAATCTTTACCCACTCCTGTTCAAGGCCAGCTACCTGCGGGAACAAGCGGAAGTAACCCGTGCTGTGCTGGGCTGCTGGCCCCTAGAGGAATTCCGGCTAGATGTACTACTGGGGCCAAGCACTGACCACCCTGAAGACCTGCGTGACCGGGCCTGCAAGACCTGCCTGGAAGCCTGTGTGCAGGGCCTGGCTGATCACGTGCTTCAGGGCAGGAGCTGCCGGCTGCAGAGAGCTGACCTTACGGGTATCCGGGATGTACAGGTGCAGCGATGTCCTTGTGGCAAGGCTCTGGGAAGGTGGGGCCGTACTGAGCTCCTGGCGAGGATATGCTGCCAACTGCAGGCAGAGACCTGTGCAGTCAGGCGGCCTATTGAAGTCCTCGTTGACCTCTTTGTCACTGAGGGCAACTTTGAGATGGTGGTGCAGGCCCTGAAGCCAGCAGGTCTGGCTCCTCTGCAGATGCGCTGTCCCTCCTTCCGGGCAGACAGCCTGAGCCCTGGGCAGCTCCTGCAGGTGTTAGGCCTAGCCAGGCCAGGGGAGCTGCGCAAGCTGGAGGTGGTCCACAATGTGCGGCTACATGCTGGCCATGTGCAGCAGTTGTTAGCCCAGGTGGGATTCCCTCACCTGACTTCCCTCACCCTCCCCACCAAGGCCTTTGACACACCCTTCCCTTGCGTCCCGACTTCTGAGCGTGAAGACTGCCTCCTTGCCTCCATCGCCAGGGAGCTCAGCAGCATGACCCGGCTGGTAGAGCTGAGTGTGTCCTTCTCCACGCTGACAGGGAAGATCCAGACTCTGCTGGGGTGAGTCTCCGAGACTGAAAGGAAGAGGCTCTTGGCTTGAGAGGCTGCAGAGGTGCTGAGCGATGGGAGAGAAGCGGCTTACTCACAAAGCCCCCACCTCAGTGCTCTGGAGCTTCACTGGGCAGAGCACAGGAGAGAAATGAGGGAGAAGTTAGAGGGCCAGGAGAGAGCAAGAATACTGAGGGACCCCAGGAGACCACTTCCAGTTAGCAAGAGCCAATGTGCAAGAAACCATGCCTGCAATCCTGGCACTCAGAAGCCTGAGGAAGGAGTGTGAGTTCAAGGCCAGCCTGGATAACAGGGAGACTGTCTCAAAAAACAAGGTCTGGGGGCTGGAGGTGTAGCTTAAGTGGTAGAATGCTAGCCAGTGAGCAAAAGCATCAGATACTGAGTTTCAGTGGAGTCTGGTCTTAAACAACAAAGCAAGCAAGCAAGTAAGAAAGCATGAAAGAAAGAGGGAAAGAAAGAAAGGAGAAAGGAAAGAGAGAGCAAGAAATGAAGAAAGAAAGGAAGGGCTAGAAAGTGACTTAATGCTAGAGCGTTTGAG